CTGGTGTTGCCCAGCGGACGGCTGTAGGGGGGTGGCCCCTGGCTCCAGACAGGCTGGGAGGGCAGAGAGGGTTGGGTGTATTTGGGGGGCTGACTGGACACCGAGAGGCTGCTGGGCGGGGGGAAGGAGTGGCCATAGGTGGCACTGTAACTGGGCAGGGACTGGGCAGGGGCTGCCTGTGCGTACTGAGCAGAAGAACTGGATGGTGGCAGTGGTGGAGGGGCATAGGGGTAACGCGATGGGGCCACGGTTTGTGCCTTCTCCGGCCCCATCCCGTGGGGAGATGGGAGGTGCCCAGCCAGTGTCTGCCCTACCATCCCCGGAGAACTGGAGGTGGCCACTGCATTGTTGAGCGGGCGCAGAGCTGGTGGGGGAGGCAGATTAGCCGAGACATGGGGAAAGGAAGGAGCAGAAGCCGGGGAGGCAGCCAGAGGGTTGGCGGGGGATGTCTTTTGAGGAGGAAGCCCCCCAGCCACTGATGCCAACGAGATAGGTGTGGTGGGTGGTGGATTGTGCTTGGCACTGAGGGCCTGCTCACGAGCCCCGGATGCTGAGAGCGCCCCTACACCACTGGGAATTTTGGTCCCAGCCTGGACCACATTGGGTGTAGGGTAAAGAGGAGCATGGACAGAGGACGAGGAGGAGGAGGAGGAAGAGGAGGAGGAGGAGGAGGAAGAGCAGGAGGGAGTAGAAGAGGTGGCAACGGCAGAAGAGGAGGAGGCTGGTGTCTGTGGGGCCTGAGCCTGGAAAATCCTCGAAGCTTGGCCCTCGAGCTGAGCGTGGTAGCTCCCTGCAGCAGGGCCCTGTGGGTGGACTTCAGCTGGGAGACCAAAGCTGGGCTCAGGCGGACGGGCTAGGCTGTCAGGGGCAGGAACTACGGGAGGACTCTGAGGAAAGAGGGGAGGGTGGTGGTAGGAATGAGACGGTCCCTGGGACAGCACAGAGGAGGAGTCGGAGTCGTTCTCCACACTGCCGGGGCTGTAGACACTTGGCGAGGTGCTCCTGTTATCCTGGTCAATGTCCCGTGGGTCACTGCTCATCTCATCATTGAAGCTGTGGCCATCAAGGCTGTCAACATCTGATGGGGATGGAGGACAGGGTAACTCCTGAAGCAGAAAGAGGAAGGAAATGTTAGGCAGCCTTCCAGACCATGCACAACACTTTTCACATTCCCAGAGATGTTCCTTTCTCCCCTAGCCCCAGCATAAAGGAAAGCACACAGAGGGAAAGATACATCATTTGACAAGATAGCCAGGCTAACTAGCACATTCCCTTTGAACTACTCCTGTGCTCTCAGGTACTTTAGGAACATTGTGTACTTAAGAGAGAAGGTGATGATGGGTGTCTTGTGTACGTAGGCAGTGAGGGAAGTGTTAAACACCAGGCTGAGAATTAATCTATGAAAGATCTCAGCACTACTAACAGCAATAGGCCTTTGGGCGAGGTGCTACCAGCAGGTGGCAGACAGCAGCACGCATAAGCATCGGGGAGAATATGCTCTCAGTGCAACGAGCAAATCCAAAAATGCTCCAATGTTCAGCGCTTTCCTCATCATATCCTTTCCTCAGTGAGGAAACCCACTGAGACCAAATCCACTTTGGCCCCTACCTGAGTGTTAGCTCTCCTTGCACCTTATTAGGGGGTTAGGTCCCCACTGGTCCTCTGGGTTTCCCATTACCTGCTCTCCCCCACCATGCCTCACTTCTGTCAATAAAATGATCGCTGATTAAGCAAAGTAATACAGACAATTAACAGGGTTTATAGGAAAGGCTAAAGTGAAAAAGGTCATTGTTGAGCTGAATAGAGTATCCATATAGAGAAATTATATTGGTATAACTGCAGCGGTTTAATTATATGGACATCATAAGACAAGTAAGTATGCTTGCAACCACAAGCCTTTAAAGCTAATTTCCTGAACAGGCTAACAGGGAACTGGAAAGAGCTGAGTTTTTTTTCAGCTGACTGATCTTCGATCCAGTCCAATGTTGTATGAATTTCAAAAAAGCTCTACCAGCATTATGGCAAGTGTGTCTAAGTTGTTTTTGCACTCACTTTAGGATTGGTATCATCATTATATGGATCCCAGCATGATTTAAGGATCTCTGTTTTATACTATGGAGCAAAAGAGTCTGAATCTAAACTGCCACACGCCTGCGTGTGGAGTAAGGGGAGGGAGGATGAGCACATTTCACATCTGCTGCTCATCAGCACAGCCAGATTCCCTGCTGGGAGTAACCAAGTTCCTGCTATTGAACTGGGGAAGAAGGGTTTGCACCCAGGCCCAAGAGTCCTGCCCAGACAAGGACTAAGGAACAGAAAGTTTTTGTCTTCTAAATCATCACTCCAGGTAGCTTTTTTTTATGTATATATATGCCAGGCAGATGTCATTTAGTCCCTTGCAGAAGGGTCTACCTTAGAAATTTGAGATGCCAGAATGTGGGATTGCCATGACAGCCACACACAGGCTGCCAGCACGGCAAGAGTTTCAAGCTAGCAGGACACAAGCAGCCCATACAGGGAAAAGGGGCATTTCTTGGCCATGGCCCCAGGATACGCCAGTGAACAGAGCAGGAGGAACTCACCTCAGTTTTGGTTTTTTTGGGTGCATTGCTGTCTTCCCCCTCACTCTCTGAGATCTCTTCTGTTCGGCCTTGCTTGCTGCCCTTGGGGGTGCAGGATTCCTCCACCCGACCTTTCTGTAAGAGAAAGAAGGACAGGAAGATAAGAGGGTCGCAGGGAAACTTCCTCTCCTACCTGGTCTGTACGGATTCTGCTGGGTGAGACACAATTACCACAATGCAATGTGATGAAAAGCTTAACAGGCAGTGAGGAGTGCTCAGGATGACATTGAGATAGAATTTGGCACAGATTAACATTACAGTTTTCTTTTACATTACATTAAGATTAACAGTAGAAAGGGCTACTGAGACTGAGGACTACTTCTGGGAAGATGATGGGAAGTGCAAGATGCTGAGGATGAGAAGAAGAATCCATCCCATCCCTTCCAGATAGCTGAGCCCAGAATGGATTCCGCAGTGGATCCCACTTGGTCTGCATAACTGGATCCTCTCCAACCTGGGTAAACCTCTGGCACTTCACACCCACATGCTAACTTATATTACCTTTGTTGCTTGTCGGGATTTTTCAGCTTTGCCATCACTGCTGGAGGTGCTGACTCCACCAGGGGAAGCTCGACCCCGTGATCTGAGCTCCTCTCGGGGCCCGGGGGTCTCCTTCTTCCGTCCACTCCTCATTGACATCTGAGAGAGAGAGAGATGGCTGAGTCAGTAGGGCAGCTCTCTCCATCCCCCCTCGCTTCCCAAAGCCCCTAGACGTCGGGCCCTCGCACCCTGCAACGCCAAACTCAAGTTCACAGCAACCTCAGACCCCACCACAGCTCTCGAGTCCAAGTTCTGCCTCCCGCTCCCATCTCACGTACGGAGTCTTTGTTCTGTCGTGTCTTCATTCTTTTGGGTGTGGGACCCCCATTCTCCTTGGTCCGGTTTGATGAAAACATAAAGTTTTATCACGATACCCCCCCGCGTTTTGCTGTTCCCTGTGAGATTGAGGCAGGCAAGATCAGCTCTTCTGGAAAGGAGGGCTTACACCAGCAGTGCAACAAGATCCTGGAGAATCCTGAAAGACAGACAGAAGGACAAAAGGTGAGAAAGTGAATAGCATGTGGGGCATCCTTTTGTGGCTTGCTATATGACAAAATTATTGTTTTTTAATTATTATTTACAGATGCAAGATTCTTTAGTAAGAAAGCAATAAACTTTCCCATTACTAGGATAAAAGATTTGGCCATTGCGATCTCTGATTCACTTTTTCTAGGAGGGAAATCCACACAATGGGAGGCAGGCAAAAATCAACAAAAAATTTTGGAGGAAGCAGGGAAGAATGGTTGTGTTGATTTGCCTCTGACATCATTTTAGCATTTCCATTTCCTTATTTATTTCATCTTCAGAGAGAGTGAAAAAGTGATAGAAAACTGCTTTAAAATGTTCTTAGTGACAATTCTGCTGACTTCCTGTGCTCCTCTTTGCACCTGTTGTCAGTGCAGTGGTTTCATAATCCTTTACTGGCCATGTGCTGTCATTAGCTGACTCTGCATAACGAGGCCCTGGGGGCCTTTGCTACAAGAAGTATTACACAGCCCTGACCTATGCAGTGCATAATGCACACATGCACCAGCCAGCATGTCATACGGAAATACTGACACAGCTTGCTCAGACTGTTCCGGTTCAGAAATACTTCAATAGGAATGAGAAAATGTATGTAGCTTTGCTTTTATATGTTACAAACATCATCAGCTCTGTTTCGCTTAGGGTATTTCCACAGGTCTCCTGCCTCCCCCTACTCTGGGCCTGTTTCTCAGTGTAGCAGATGGTGTCCGTCCCAGAAACACAGAGCCCATCCTCCCAGTTTGCAACAGCAGGAAGATTTCAGAGCTTCCTCTGAATAAACTAACAGACCCGCACTATGTCCTGAAAGCACCACCAATATTTAACACTCTGTTACGTCACGCAGTTCCTATCTCAGGGTATTAAAGCACCATGAGAGCCTGGGGGCTGGACTGAGCTGATTCAGGAATGCTGCTTCTGGAGCCGACTCGCTTGAATGTGGCTCCAGATACTTTGCACTGTGCAGGTGTAACCAAAGAGAGACACTACTTATATGAGCTCCTCTACTTGCTCTCTGGAATGGACAGTTTGCAAGACAAAGAGATGTGTCTTGTGCATGAGATATGAGGAGAAAAGATCCATCCACAGATTTACATTCTGTGCTCTGGAAGCATTGGGGAATTTAGGGAATAAGACTGAGAGTTAGGTGGCAGGGCAATGCAAGGGAAGCCTGAATTCACTTTCACCCCTCTCGGAATTGAGCTGAAAGCATCAGGGCAAAAGCACTGCAAGGGAGGAACTTCATCTCTCACATGCAGCCCTCTTCTTGAATTGTGTGATCTTGAGGTCACCACTTTCCTCTACCTCCATTTTGCTATCTGTAACGTGGGAATAACGATACTGGCCGGTCTCTAGTGGGTTCCACATCTTCCCTCACTAATGCGTAGAGAACCTCATACAGAAGGTGCTTGCAAAGAGCAGGAGATTGTTTTAATTTCATTAATATTTTATTTGACCTCATCATGAAAGCCACAAGGGACTCATTTGGCATTAATTCCTAGGCACAATTCATTAACTTAGACCTCTTCTTTAACAGAAAAATCAGTTCACAGTGGTTCACACCTGATCTTGTGGAACAACAGCAACCCCTAATCCCCACAAACTGACATCTTTCACAATCTTGCATTTCTGGCATAATTTGGTCTTTGGTTGCTAATTCAGCCCCTTAGACTGATGCTATTTTCTATTCTAGACAAGCATCTAGAATTAACATTTCTTACATAAAACAAACATTATGGAGAAAGACAATCCTAACTTAACGCAGCCTCAACACACGCCACATTGGCAGTCTTCAAAGATTAGCCCAGCTCTGCCTGAACATACAGAATTAGCAACAGCATTTTACCAACGTTACCCCTCTTATTTTACGTTCAACAGTAATGCCATCTACAGCTCACACACCAAAGAACTGAACATCATCATTCAGTGCCCAGATCTCACTTTTTCAGTAATTACTGAATTCCAGTAATTCAGTAATGGCAATTATGGTTTTCTTTCCAGAGAAAAAAGTCAGAGAAATACTATGCAGTTAACCACATGCCCAAACCTTCTTTTTTTTTTTTTTTTAATAGAAATACCAACTAGGTCTTCACGTCAACAGCAGAATACTCAATACCAAACAAAACCAGGAACAAATAGGTACATTTCAGTAGACAAAAGAAAAAAAAATGGAAGCAGAAACTTTTATCACTTACAGGATTGCTTGCAGGGTTTTTTTCTAAAACATATAAGAGAATTGAACCACATGTTATTAGGCTCAGTGTAGCAACTGTTACACCAGAGATTAGAAGAGACAATCACCACACTGCTTTCTAGTCTCAACGTCTATGAAATAAAAGCCCACAGCATCAGCCTTAACAGTTACAAACAAAGCAACAAATTTGGGGTTATACCTAAAGCTTTCCAGCACCAATAGTCCTTGTGAAATTGCCAGAAGAATTCTTATTGACACATGGTTTTGGAAAAAGAGATACATTTGGTAGTGCTGCTGTCGAAGGGGCTGCCTTTACTGCATCTTGTCAAAATCTTTACAGGTTGGCTTGAGTCATTGTGAATGACCGTTTTCTGTTTGTGTTTCATATAACCCAGCTTGGGTTGGCTTGCTGCCAAAACCCCTCCATATTCCAGTGAGAGTGCTGGTACAGCCTCCTATTAGCAACACCCACTCAGCAAGGATCCTCATGGGGGATCCAAAATGGATCCTGCTCTTTTTCCACCCTGCTTCAAATGATCCTTTTTGCCCCAGGCAAACTGTCCTGCAAAGGAATCCCCGAGAGCACAGGCATGTTCCTCTCCCATGAAAGACTGCAGACACTGTCTCCGCTTTGCAGGCTGCTTTGCAGAGAAACTCTTCACAGGTAGCAAAACTGGACACGAGTCCATCCCTACTGAAATGGACTCAGGTCAGACCTTCTGAAGTATACACCTTCGGTCTCTCTTAGGGAGGCTGACAAAAGTTTGTCCCTGACTCAGGACATCATTTGCACATTAAACCATTTGACTGGGTGCCTAGGAAAAATAAATGTTTATAAAAGGCAAAAGAGGCAGAGGAAATGGAAAGGGCAGATTTGTCCAGGGTAAGACTTGGGATTCAGCATGGGTCTCATAAAGGACAAGCAAGCGAAGAGCCAAACTCTCACAAGTGGCTGGGGCTGCTCCCACACATCCACTCAGCACATGCTCCCAACACCAGGGAGGCAACTTCCAGTGGTACAGGAAAGTCTGGGAGATGTCCCCAGAATCCACCAAGGGCTGAAGATTGTTGTCACTTCAGCAGATGCTCAGAAGCAGTGCAGACTCCAGGACAGGCAGCCCAAGTCTGGAGCACCACTGTGCTTGGGACAGCTAAATGCTTGCTAAGGTCCAAGCAGCTGGGGCCAGCAGGAACAGCAGTGAAGGCTGAAGGCTCCAAGGATCCAACCCACGTAAGAAGCTTTTGCTTGCTTGCTTACACTGTTACTTACTCTAGCAGGTTTTTCTTTATCCAATAGACAGTTAAGACCTGATCCAGGTTTCACTGAGGTTAACTGCTGGGTGATCAGTTGACAGTTATTGCATTTTCTCCCCTTCCTTTTACTTTGTTTCTCTAATGGAAAAAAAAAAACTGCTTGGTCTGGTTAGGTGCCATTCTTGACCCTCTGGTGGTACTCCGCAAGTCCCTGATTGATTCTGGCCTGGTCCAAGCAGGGGTCACAGCTCCAGGTCCACTGGAGCTACCTGGTGATGAGCTGGGGGAGGGCAATAGCACCAGTGCAGGCTCCTCTCTCCCCTGGCTCCACCTAGGCATCACCTGTACCGAGCAAGGGATGTATGACCGCAAGGTGCCCGGACGGATCATTCAGACTCAGGCCCTAAGGCTGACCAACATTGCACAGCTCTCACCCACACGATAGAATTCTCCTATCCTACAAATGGCCACATCTAAACTGGTTTTTGGGAACAGTCTCACACTAATTCTTAAAATATCCTGAAGCATCATCCAGGAGAGTTGGTAAAGTTGCTAAAGGACAAAGATTATACAAAGGAATGCCATGCTAAGGAAATGGTACAGCCAACTGTGCATTGGTACTTGGACCCAGTTAAATTTGTTATTAAAGATGTGTTATCTTCCACTTAGATACCAGTCTGCGAAAAATAAGTTTTCACTGAGGATCCAGTGAGGTTCCTCCTTTAGCCTGAGTACGGATGACCTAGAGTTCAAATCCTCTCATTTTGTTTGTTTATTTTCCCGCAATGGAAATTGTTGAAAGTACACAGTGAATATTTCTTAGTCATCTTTTTTAAATGTAGGAGCTACCTTTTTTGCAAAGATTGCAATATTGCAAAGACAGGGACTCAGAAATTAAAAAAAATGTAATAATTAAATGAAGACTCTTTCTCTGTATTCTTTAGCTTTGTGTTTACATCTCATTTTCTTTCTCCTTCTGCACAGAGTAGCACTGAAGGGAGTCACGAGGTTGGTAAAGTTAACACAGCCACCCTCTTAACATGTCACAGATGCTGTAAAGTGTGCTGAAAGTTGGGTGTGATGGTAACCCATTGATTGCTCATTGACAGGTATCACCCCGGAGTGAGCACCCAGTAGAGCAGGATGGACGAGGCTTGTAACACTTGTAGCTGGGAAGCCAGTTGTTTGCACATCCCAAACTGCCCCATTGAGTGGTGGCCCCACTCAATAAATACTTAATTCTTGCCCCCATGCCCCTCATCTATAGAAAAGGGGAAAAACCTCTGAGATTTACTAGAGTTAACAACTTTGTAGTATCTTGAAAATATGTTTTGTCCAAAAGCTTACAATCAACCAACGTGATGTACGGCATTTCCTGATTGCTCGGTACCTGGTTTCATCCTTGAACCCTAGTGTTTTCCTGTAGGTCATAAAGGAGAAAAGGAGGGAAGGAAGGGGAAGAGCCAAGTATTCGGGGTTATATAGCAGTAAATGACAGGGTCAGA